CTCTACCACTGAGCCACCTTCCCAGCCCAGGATTGCCAGTTTTATAGGTTTGTTTTCTGTTTGGGTTATACTGGGTTTTGAATTCAGGGTCTCACACTTGGGAGGCAAGCACTCTATCACTTGAGCCATATCAGGTTTTAAAGCCCAGTGAAGAAGTTTTCAAGGACATTTTTGGTACAAGCAGAGATAAATAATAATATTGCTATATCACTATCAAACATGTTGAGGATAGTAATACTGCAGTTACATAGGAGCTTTGCAGAAGATACATGCTATAGTGAGTCTAAAATGATGTTTTTGGTGTTGTTGGTCATGTGGCTTGAGCTCTTGGTCTGGGTGTTGTCCCTCAGCTCTTCAGTTCAAGGCTAGTGCTCTACCACTTGAGCCACAGCGCCACTTCTGGTTTTCTGGTGGTTTAATGGAGAGAAGAGTCTCACGGACTTTCCTGTCCAGGCTGGCTTTGAACCGTGATCCTCAGATCTCAGCCTCCTTAGTAGCTAGGGTTACAGGCGTGAGCCACTGGCACCCAGCTCTAAAATGATGAGTTTTAAAGCAGTTTATAACTTGTTGTGTAGATGTAACATTTTACATTACATTTTTTTCTCCAGGTATGCAGAGACGCATCAAGTATATGCTATTGTATTGGTGTCTGCATACACATCTGACTTGGGGGATGAAAATGAGCGTGCAAGTGGTAAGTCTGAGATCAAATATCTAGAAAAACTTCTGCTACACATACAGCTGTCTATTCAGTTTCTAAGAGTTATTATTTTTCAGATAAGCTTTTCAAAACCTCTAGCATATGAGAAAGAATTGCAGAGGACACTCAATTTATTGAAACACAATGACAAATGAAACCTAAGTTTACTGATTCTCAGTCTAGATTAAAACTAGTTAGGTTTTGACATGTTTTATTCTGTAAAATAAAATTTGGTTTTATCAGGGAAGGAAAACAAGACAAAAAGTCCAAAGTGCTGGCCTGAAGCTCAAACATGAGTTGCTGTTTAAGCTGGGCCAGAACCACACACTTTTGATTTAAGTTGGGTACATTGAGAGATTGCAGACCTCTTTTCAACTTAAAGTCTAAATCCTAGATAGCTGGGTTTTTTTTGAAATTTTTACTCATTTTTCACAAGTACCTTGGTATTTATTCCTACAAATCTGAAAACAAAATAATACTTCTAATTCATGTAGGCTTTGATTTTCTGTGTCTGTAATGGTCTTCACTAAGTATTTCCAAATGTCTAAAATGTTATTCATGACATTGGTAGTTTTTTCTCCTCTGTGTAGGATACTTCAACCGCCCCTGGCAGTGGGAGAAGATCAAGACCAACTGCTCTCACATTGTGCAGTTTGGCTCCACTGATGACCCTTTTCTTCCATGGACAGAACAACAAGAAGTGGCAGATAAGTTGGATGCCAAATTACACAAGTTTTCTGATCGAGGTCACTTTCAGAACACAGAGTTTCATGAACTGATTAGTGTGGTTAAGTCTATGTTGCAAGTACCAGAATAGTCAGGATAACTCCTGCTATCTTGCATCCCAATACAGGGGAAGACTAATAACATCTACTACCAGACCATTAATAGACATAATCAACCAGTTAAGCTTCAAAAGTGCCTGGAATACTCTTAAGTCTCATTGTTCACACAAAGTTTCAAGCAACATTTTCATTTTCCATAGAATCTAAAACTTTCCCGTATTGCTATGAACTAGACTGTATTTTCCCCATTTGATAACAGATAAGGACAGTTAGCCACTCTATTCAAAGTGAGTAAGTCAGAAATGAAACCCAGTCTTCCTAATTCTCAGTCTAGATTAAAATTTATTTTTCATGTATGTTCTAGAGTGGGACTCTTACTCCTTAAAATACGACTTGTTTTGTTTTGGGGGAAGATTGTTTTGACAGAAGATTCAAAGAGCTGGCTTAGAGTTTAAAACACAAGCTGCTGTTCAAGTTAGACCAGGATATTTAGCCCAAATTCACACATTCACCAGTGATCCTTCCTTGTCCTTAGGTCCTTTAGGCAAGTTGAGACAGACTGACACATAGGATTCTGAGTCACGGATCTGCTAGGAAACAGAAGCACAGTGTATTAACTGCATTCCAACATATTGTAGGCCAAGTCTGGTATTAGGGCCATGTGGAAAGTTCATACCATGCAAGGCACTTTCAATATTTTTTTCCCTCAAGGGAAAATTCATCATTCACATGGTGGTTTTTTAATTCAGGAAATATATAGGTATCTATATGTAATCCATATGTATGTGAGTTATGTCCAGCCCATATTCATATAGATTATGGTAGCTGGCAATAGTTAAAAACAAAAACAAAAACAGGGGCTGGGAAGGTGGCTCAGTGGTAGAGCGCTTGCCTTGCATGCATGAGGCCCTGGGTTCGATTCCTCAGCACCACATAAGCAAAAAGAAAAAAG